GAGCCTATGTTCCAAAAGTCACAATAGAAAATAAATTGCATATATTCAAGCTTTTGGAAATTTTTTTCATGTGTGATTTGTAGTGCTCAATTAGATGACCTAGAACTTGAGTGATTATGCATGTTGAACTTGCAAATATCGGGTCTTGCGTTTTGAAAATGATAAGGGCATTAGGTAACCCATTAAGCCTTTCTTTATTACCCAGCACAATATATTCCCCTAGTTAGCCCATTTGAGCCTTCTTAGCCTATTTTTTCTTTTCTAATAAACTGTTTTTTTAGCCTCATACCTTTCTTTCGATTGAGCCCTCTCCGATTTGAACCCTATGTTAGAAAGAATTACTTTAAGTCCATGTTGTGATGCACTTTATTTCTTCGGCACTAGTTAGAAACGAACTTTGGTTACGAATAAGTCATAGTATGAAGGAATAATTGTGGGTAGCGTAAGTATATATATATATATAAAGGCAAAAGCCAAAAAAAAATCAAAAAATCAAAAAAAAAATCAAAAATCAAAAAATCAAAAAAAAAATCAAAAATCAAAAATAAAAAAAACGAAAAAAAAAAGAAACAAAAAAATAATACAACAATAAATAAATAAATAATTATCTTAATAAAGTATTTTCATTTAATTTCATTATTAAAGTTTGGGTAGTGAATAGAGTAAGGGTTTCATTGTTTATGCCGATTTGTTTTTCATATGCTAGCATCGTGTACTTATTGTATTCTTTTATGACATTCTTAGGCGTTGTTTATCCTTGTTTTCCTACCCTGGCCATAAGCCCTGTTACAACCCTTATTGAAAGTCCCTTTGATTCTCTATGCTAGATTCGAATATTTTAAGCAAGGGAGATTTGATTTTTACTCAAGCCTATAGGATAATCTTTTGTTGCACTACCTGAGTGTTGAGCAAATTATACACTTAATTCCTTCAGAGAGCATGTGCGAATACACTTTATCTTGTGAGGTTGACTTGGCTTGATGTGTTAAAATTCGGATTGAATTGGTTGTGTTGGATTCTCTTGTCATATCGAGTTGTCTGCGATTTCTTTGGCTTATTTTGTATTTATGCTTGAGGGCAAGCATGATCTAGGTGTGGGGAGAATTGATAGTTAGAAATCGCATTGGTTTTATATTCATATCATATGCGATATTTGGGTGATTTTGATTGGATTCTACCTAATTTATATGCGAATTGTTTATTTGTTGTGTGCAGAGGGCAAATATTAAATTTGGCATAATTGGCAGAAAAAAAAATAAAATTAATTAAAGGCCCAAAAGCCCATTTACAAAATAATTATGGCAAAAATCAAATAAGAAGAAAAAGACACGCCTATTTGGCAAGAGAGAACGGCTATGGCAGAAACGCACAGGAGCAGGAGACTGACAGACTCATAGATCGCGCAGGAGCAAATCGACAGAGAAGATTTCCCCTTCCCACTATGACTTTATCTTTCTCTTTTGTTCTTTGTTATTTGATTATGGAGTAGATATTTTTCTGGTTCGAGGGATGATAATGTTTTGGTTCTTTTGTTTTGGAGATTCTTGATTTTCTTTATAAAAGTTCTTTTTTATTATCAATATTTGTCTAATTCTGAGAATAGTGTTTGTGATTGTTAGATTGATTAAATATTTTGGTACCGATATTTAAATTAGTCTGATAATCTAAAGTCAATTCAGGTAGGATATCCGTAATTGTATTCGCACTTGAATAGGTGACAACCGGGTTGAATAGTTCCTTCCCGGAGGTTAGACAATCAAATCTAATTGCTCATCGTAGGTAGTAATTGTTTTGAATTGGGTTTTTCTATATTACAATGCGGTTAGGCAATATTCTTGTGGGCGCACCTAGGTTTATTTGCTTAATTAGGGGTAGTTAACGGTCGTACCTTAATTACCTACACTGTAAGAAAAAATTGGTTGTCAGAGCTTGTTGATAACTATAACCAATTTATTGATACTTTAATAAGAATTAAATTTATTGAATTAATGATAAAACACAAGTTCCATAACTGCATCATCCCTTAAGCCAGATATCCCCTTGATAGTCAGTTCCCCTTAATTTAATTGCTTTGTTATTTTATTTTCACTAGATAATAAAATAAAATTCTCCCTTTATTTACTGCGTTAGAACACGAAAGAGTGAATCACACAATCCCTGTGGAGACGATCCCTTCCCCTATATTACATTAAATTGTGATCACGAATTAGGTAAAATATTTGATTGACCGCGCGACAGGTCACTCATTCTATAAAAATAGCTTGGGTCTAGCTCGGATCTCGAGTTTACACGAACCCATTGTGATCCATAGGACTAACACTCTTTAAGATCAATAAAGATTATGAAACAAGAAAAAAAAAAAAAAAAAAAAAACTAAAAATTACAACCAAACCACAATTTCAAAGACCAAAAGGGGCCCGATGAAATTGCATCTAATTTCGGCGTTTCAAAGAGTTTTACAATATTTTTTGTAAGACATTCATATAAATTTGTCCAAGAAAAAGATACCCAAAGAAAGATATTTACCCAAAGCTATATGAATAGATACGTCTAAATAAGTAAATGAGATACACTTGAAAGAGAGACTGAGTACATATATATTCACCCCGTACAACAAAAAAAAAAAAAAAAACCACTTGCAATCTCATGTTTGTAGCCATAAAATCATTCGAAAATATTATCTTGTTGTTTAGATCGCATTCTAGATAATTCTTTGGTGGCACTTCTGACAACAAGAACCCTGCAATTGGGTCTTTCCCTACGATTGAGAGATTGACATTAGCAAACAACTTTACATCTAGAAGCGTGAGCCTCATTAGCCCATAGAAGAGTAAAAAAAATATTATTAGTTGAATCCCAAAATGAAGTCATGGCCATCAAGATGTCTTCTTGAAAATGAAAATTAAAGGTAGAAAACAAAATCGCTTTGTCAATACCTTGGCATTCCCACTGCTACCCAAACAAGGTAACAACACGATAGTTCCAATCTTTTTAACTCTTTATAGTAACTGAAGTTGTCTTGATGCCATTACAGATTCGTTGGCCTGCCAAGAATGTGAATGGCCCTTATCAAACATTGCTTCAGCACCAGTTGTTTCTTCCATGAAAGTGAATAATGGACGAATTGTGGAAGTCTTCTTCTTAGATGAAAGAAATATCAAAGAAGGTTCAAACTCACAAGGGTAAGTCAGGACAAATTGACAGAGGTTGTGCACCATTGAAAATTTGAAGGAAATAAGCAAAGAATATTTTTAAGTTTTTTAAGCTTGAGCACTTGATCAAAAAATGCACAAAAAATGTTTTGGAGATGATAATTGATCGTTTATAAACTGCAAACGACAGGTTGTAATCATCACTATTGAGGCCTCAAGACTCAATATGGTGTAATTTCAACAATCACTATCCCATGTAAATGTCAATTTTGCTGCCAAAATTTGACTGTTGAAATTTATAAAGATGAGAAGGACAAATTGTTAACACATAAAATTCGGTCTAATGGAAAGATTGAATTTCAATCAAACTTGTAGTCATTTTTTGGCCCAATAAATGGAAGATTTTGTGTCTGTTTCCAAAGAAGTTCTAAATGGACCGAACTTTGAGCACTGCAATTTCCCATGAATCGGTCACAATTGACTAAAAAATTGACAAGTACCCAATTGTTATACAAAATTTGGATACGTTTAACTAACAAAAATTTATTAAGAAATTATTTAAGAATAACTATTTTAAATTTTCGCACTTCTTACGTATTTTTTGTATTGTATTATGTATCATAATTTCAAAAAAGTTATTAAATATTTTAAATTATAAAATTAATTTCATGCTTCCAATTGGAATTTTGGGTTTGTTTACTTCGTATTTTTGGATGAATATGTTTTTTATGCTATTAATGACAAATTGTGTTGTTAATATAAAAAATATTTTCTTTGTCCAATTCAAAGTATCACATTTTCATCTGTCTCGCTTTAAAGTATATCTTTTCTATTTTAGAAAATGTAGTCATACACTAATACAAAAATTATTCTTAATTTTTATTTAAATTACGTATATACCATTACACATACAATTATTTTATACATAAAGTTAAAGTCAAAAGTAAAAATGTCAAAAAGTCTTACACACTTTCACTAACTAATAAAATACTATAGATGTTTTTTTTTTTTTTTTGTGAGATTGTTGGAAAGTAAATTTTTTTTATGTGAGTTATAGAAAATTACGTAAATAATATAAAACCAATGAATGCATATAGTATATTAATCTTTTTGAGAAAATATATGGAAGAAAATAATATAATATACAAATCTACTATGAAACCCCAAAAAATCTCTTTCATTTTGGACAGAATGAATAATATTTTGTATTAAATTATTAAGTTTTTGTAAATTCGTACAATTATATATTATATGTATATTGTATTAACTAGTGTATATTGTATTTCTTTTATTAGAGTATGTTTCTTTAACTAGATTTTTCTAAATTTTACTATTTGGATTCCGTATTTTTCGAAAAAAAAAAAAATCTATTTTTTTTTTATAAAATATTTCAATCAAATATTATTTTAATATCAAATTCAATATATTTTTTTCAAAGCTCAACCAACGAAACACATCCTTAATAATTGTAAGTTATATAAACTCTTTGCATTAACAGAAACAAAATCATTATTATTAGAAGAAACAAACAAAATCACCAAATAATAACGCCTGAATGCTAACAACTCAAAATTAGAATATATATATATATATAATTATTATAAAATAAAAATAAAAAAGTTACATATCCACTGTGAAAGGCAGTTGCGAATTGCGCGACCTTCTCACCATGAAAGCCTGACAAAATGATTGATTACTTTTTAATGAGCTCCCGGGACTCCAACACTCAGTCAATCGTCACCACTCATTATAAGGAGTCAGCAATTTCAATGGTCTAGATTGAGCCTTTCATCTGAATCCAACGGCAGACAATACAAGAGACCGCAGTATAAAAGACTCGCACTTATAGCAGGGCACCTCAAATCAAATCACTCCTCAAAAGCCCAACCATTGATTTCACTCCAAGCTACAAAATCCGTTGGCGGCGGCGGCGGTGGCGGTGGCGGCTATCACATCCGGACTCTGACTGTAATCCTCGCCGGATAGAGAGGAAGGTAATCGGCGGAATCGTTTTTGTTTTTAATTAGACCCACAAGTAATAATGTTGAAAAAAATTGATTGAAGGTTTCGATTACTTGTAGGATTTTGGTGGTTGGGAATGGTTTCGTGATTTGGGGAACAGAAGATTGATACATGATGTTTTACGATTGTTTCGGTTCTTGCATCAAGCAAATCCTTGCTAGTATGGGGTATGTATTGACTGTCCTCTTCCCGTCCCCTTTCTCTGAATCAATCTTTCGTTCTCTACTTATTTCGTTCATGTTGGGCCCGTCTAGTTTTTACCTTTTCCTCTTATCTATTTTTAGTGGAAGTAAAAAATGAATTGGACTTTCCAAATCTGGGTTTCTGACAATCAACCTCTTATTATTTGGTTTGTTCTTTATTTATTTTTATGTTTTTTCCTGGAGATAAATGATGTTTGTGTTGCTCCAAGAGTTGATTATTTTTCTTGCGGTTTCATGACTTGAAACTAGGGTTTTGATTGTAGATTTGCAACTGAAAGGTAACATCTAGATTAAATGATGTTACATCTTTTTATTTTATTTTTATATTTTGTTGGACGCAAGGTGTTAAATACCTTACTCTACTGGTGCAAAGAGCATATAATTATAGGAATATTCATTAAGAAAGATCTATATATTAAACAATGGTAGAATTCATTTCTATGGAAATCTTGTGTTTTAGCATTTCATTTTCATGTGCAATTCTGAAAAAATGATATGATGACATCACACACACATACATACATATATATTATAGACGTGGGGTGTGTAATATTGGAAATTTGTGATTTTATATTGAATTTGGATAGGCTAGTTTGAAAGGAAAGTAAAGAAAACAGACAAAAAGATAACGGAAGTGATTTTCTTGTGTTTGGGAAATTTAAATGGGAAGCAAAGGAAACAATTTAGTTCTTCCTTTTTCTTCAAACAAAACTTTCTGTCTAAGTTATATGTAAAAGTTTTATCCTTTTCTTTCTGTGTGTTCTCCTCTCTCTCTCACTTTTCTGTTGTCCTTTGTTTTTTGCCTCTGTTATAAACATTCTAACAAGTTAAAAAGGTCATGCCCTAAAGTTGGGGTGGGCAATAATTTGGGATTATATCATGGACCAGCACATTGTTCTTAGGATGCCTGCTTTCTTATTGAATCTGCCATTGAAAGTAGGAGTTAGGACATGAAAAATGTGATTATAATACTAAGTTAGTCCATGAAATAATTTAATGGAATGCTTCCAAATGTTGTAAACCATTACAAAAAGGTTATTCGTTGTACAACAGGAGGCTGTTACATATGTTGTCAACCATCGCAAGCAAGGGATTGTTACAATGATTATTTAGATGTATAACTTTCTCCAGATTCTTTTTTGTTTGATATCTTGAGCTTTATGCTTCAGACTTCAACTGGGTTTGTATTGCTTTGTTTACATTTACTCATTCATTCATTTAGATTTCTTCTGTGTTTGAATGTATTTTTGGTGTTTATATAGCATGTAAAATATTGTCCCTGTTGACTTGATTATTGATGAATAATAATTTTGTTTTTTTCAAAAATATATATGTTTATGTCATTGTGTTTGTACACACATATGTATGCAGGGGCGGATATAGGATTAGGAAAGGTGGGTCAATTGACTCACCAAAAAAAATTAAAAATAATACTAATTATCACTAAATTATAAATATATCCTTAAATATTAGTTTTATTTTTATTTCATGAATCAGTTTCGGTATTCAACAAGATCCACCAAAAGAATTATTGATGTCTTGCTTTTTTCCCTCCAATCGACTTTCCTCTTTTAATAAAAAAATATTGCAACTACTTGCATAATTATATTCTACAGAATTGTTAGAAGCAAAATGCATGATTATTGAATTATTATTAGGTAATTTCATTATTAATGTTTAATGTGATGAAATATTTTGGGATTTGAAGAATTTAAATAAACTTGCTATGAAACTTGTTGAGACAAAGAAAAATAGCAATTGCAAACGTAGAAAGATTATTTTCAACTATAACTATCATCAAGAAAAAATTACAGAATAGCATGAAAGAATAATTATTAAATGATTGTTTCATTATTTTTCTAGAAAGAAATGTGTTTACGAAAGTTAGTATAGATACTATTGTCAGCCGATACCAAAATATATGAGATCTCGTTGTGAACACTTATAACTATTTTGATATCTAAGTGATTGTTAATTTGAAATTTTGTATTTTTCTAATGTAAAATTTTGTTGATATATTTACTTATTTTAATTTTAATTTTAATTTAATTATATTAGTTTATCGACCCACCAAATTCAAAATCCTAAATCCGCCAATGTATGTATGTATATATATATATGGTGGTGTAAATGTTATTATATATAAGAATCTTGATTAATTAGGGTAGCAATTTGTGTTTGTATATGGGACCAGAAACTGGGAAGCCAAGACCCTTTGCAAATCTGCAGTTTTCGTGCTATTGAAAACTTCTTAAGAGTTTCTGCTAATATTATATAAAATGGAGAAAAGATCAGTTTTAGTGGAACTTATTTACGGTTGATAGTGTTGTGAAAACTTCTATGTTTAGTCTTCATGCTTATCAATTATTTAATTTTTCTTCTACTTGTATGCATGGCATATTTCTATAACCACAATTTGCAACAGCACAGAAATTGCCTTGGCTGCTGTGCTAAGTCCCTATCAATCATTGGGGCTGATGATGCATCGAGAATGAGAGTTCAAGACGACTTCTGGAGCACCAGCACATATGACTTGGACAACAGTGCACTTCAATCTCAGAGAAGCTTCTCATCTATCAGCGTACCTAATATGAGCCAAAATCAGTCCAGCGAAATCGGTGGCAACAATCATCCAGAGTTTGTAAACCACGGCAAGTTTTTTTTAACACCCCTTCTCCTAGCAATATTTTGCATAAGATGATTGGTAGGATCAGTTTTCTGTTGTTTATTTAAGTTTCATGGATACAGGTCTGCTTTTGTGGAATCAGACCAGAGCTCATTGGCGCGGAGGTGAAAAGTCAAGAAGTCATGGAAAAATTAAGAAGCCTGTTTTAAGGTAATTCAGATGCATAAGTAAATGAGACGAATGTGATCCATATGGGCATAAATCTCTGTTTCTTTCATTAGTATTATGGCATGCTGGTAGGGTGGGGTCCAGGTTATGCTTTTTCTATGACATATAGGATAACACAACAACAATAACAAACCGATCATTAATTTTTTGAAGTATTACTATTTAAGTATCTAAAATATCAGAAAGGAAAAGGTCTTTAGTATAAACTTAGGGTTGGCTTACCTTGTGGTATTAGTTAATATTTATCTTACAACTTTTAACGTAAAATTCTGATTGATCTAATAACAAAGCCTTAGGGATTGTGTATTTGTGAGATAAATTCATAATCTTTGGACAACCAAACTACTTGAAACTTCAATTATTTAACTTTTATGGGTAGGATGCAAAGAACCGACCTAAAATTTCAGTGACTTCCACCCCTAATTTCAAGAATGTCCTGTAAGTTTTGATTGTTTTCATCTTCAGGGTTATCCATCCATGTGACATTATTTTTCAAAAGCTTTGTCTAAGATAGCTCGAGAAAATGCTACTTAATCTTAAGAAAAAGGGGGGGTTGTTTAAATGCTTTGTATTTGGTAATTTTATGAGATTTAATTTATCCATGTAGTGAAAGTGAAGTATGTGATTGTGATCCATTCGATTCGATTCCATTCCACGTAGTATTGAGTTGAACTCAAAGATGTTGCTCCCATCTGAATAAGTCGTATTATTTTCAGTTGGAATGCTAGTTATGATAACTTGCTACTTAGCACCAGCAAGCGATTCCCGCAACCAGTTCCTCTCTCTGTAAGTGTGTGTCTCTCTCTCATCACTCCATCAAGGATTGTTTGTGTTCTTACAGTATGGTATGGTGTTGTGACAGGAAATGGTTGACTTTCTAGTTGACATATGGGACCAAGAAGGGATGTATGATTGATTGCTATGCTATACTATACTCTGCTGGCCATGTATTCCTTCTTCTTATCCTTAAACTGAATTTTCATTAAAAGTTTGGTCTGAAGTGTACAGTTTAAGCAGGGTAGGGTGTGAGAACTAGCACTACCACTAGCCAGCCAGGTTGATTGATCGATATATTAACAACACTTACAACAAAAACAAAACACAAGGAGAAGAGGGAGTAAAGGTTGTGGTTGACATTTCTGTCTTTTGGTTGATGATTTATTACATCTCATAATATATTATTCGATGGAGGAGTAATCCAATGACATTTATTAGTATGGTATTGTATGGTATGATGCTGATGCTGATGCTAATGTGAGAAAAGTCTTTCAGTTGGTTCTTTTCTCTCTGCATGGACTCTCTAAGACTCACTAATTATGTTCACATTGCCGTTTATGTCCGTCTCATGTTTTATGTCACTTTTTTTTTTTTTTTGAAAAATAATTACTCACCTTAATTTTATTTTAATTTTTTAATTTTAATTTTTTTACTTTTAATTAAATTAATTAATTATCTCAATCTTTATTTATAATATAGGATAATTATTTTTACTAATATATTTTAAATTATTTACTAATTATATTTATTCTAAATTTTGGTGTGTGTAGAACCTGTGAAATTGGTATTGATGAATCCCCAGTGGCAGCAATAGCCATAGGTATTAATTCTTCAGCTTAATTGTGAAGTTTTTAACAATATATCACTAGATTTTCTCAAATGCATCCAAATGTTGTATATTAAATCTAACTGTTATTTTATGGATACCCTAAATTTGATTTATCAATACGTTATCAAAATAACAATATAGTACATAACATATAATATTATACATGAAGGATCAGCTCAAATCCCTATTTATATAGCTCTTAAATATATATTATCTATATTTAAAATTTTACTTTTTCTTATAAAATTAGTTTATACTATTAATTATAAATAAATAAACATAAAATTTTATTTATATGTATGATTAAAAAAAAAATTATTCTTTACAAAATAATAATACCTCAATCCGTCTTTAATAGTCCATTTATTTTTTGCGTGTTGATTTTTTAATATTAATTATTATATAAAAATATAATACAAATTTAAAAAAAATTGCAAAAATACTAGCATTATTGTTTTATAATATTAATAGAATGATATTTTACAAAAAAAAATTATACATATATATATATGGATTTTTTAGTATTAATACAGTGACATAAAAAAATAACATGTGACCCTCAGAGGAAGTATCTATATTGCAATATTTTTTTATAGTAATATAATTTTTAAAATATTTAAATACATATTCTAATTTTTTTAATCATATATATTAGATTTATATTAAAATTATCAATATTAATAATTATATAAAAAATATCATAATTTCTTATTATGAGATAATTAAATATTTTACTTTAAATACCATATCACTGATTAAAAAGTTCAATATTATTATTATTATTATTTCCGTCCCACAATTTTTATTTTTTATTTTCGTTTGTTTTACATCATTTGTCATTTTTTTTAAAAGTTTTGTTAATTTTAATTTATAATTATTTTTATCATATAATAATTATTTTACTAATACATTTTTTTAATTACTTATTAATTATACTTTAACTAAATTTTTATATATACAGTACTCTAAATTTTTTTATCTACGATAATAATAGGCTAAATTCTCATATGTACACTAGTCCCATGTTACATGGGACATAGAGTATTATTTAACTTTGACCTCTTTCAACCCTCGAATGGATTCAATGACCAATTTTTATTTCACGCACCAAATGCAATGAATCATCATGTAAAAGACCAAATTCATTATAACAAGAGCAAAAATAATTTTTGTTCTCATTCAATATCATAATTATTAATTTTAATTCTACTCAAAACAGAACATTTTCTGTGATGAAACATAAGCAGAAACATGACCTAAAACATTAATGTTTTGAAAATATGAGCAAAAACATGATCGAATAATCAACACGGCCGTGTTGGCTGCTTGGGATGCCCAGTCACTTTCTAAGTCATCCAACATGGCCGTGTTCAGTCCCAGTCAACCATTTGAGACTAAAATTGATAAATTTTCATTTGAGTAAAACAAAAATTGATAATATTTTTTTAATAGGACCAAAATTGATAATTATAATTTCGAATGGAACAAAAATGATTTTTACTCTTATACCAATCATGGCAATAGCAAACTCACTGTCTTTCCTCTATACGAACATTAAAATGGTAAAAGAAAATAAAATTGCATCTTGATTGGAATAGAATGGAATTGCCTGTAAAATGCACAGCATGCTTAATAGCAGATGGCATTTTCTCCAAAACTAAAGGACAGCCTGCCTGTCTTCTTCTCCGATCCAAAGTTAAATTTCAGATCAGAATCGTCGATCGCAGCAACCGGTGCACTGCTCGTGGAAGGAAAAGAGAACACGAGCCGCGGACTTGATTTGTCGCCAAATTTGTAAACAGGGTTTTCCTCGGCTGCAGCAGCAGCAGCAGGCTGAGACAGAAAGCTTGATGAAAATGGCGGCACGAAGGACGGTGTCGGCATTTCTGAAAGCACGCCGGAAGAAGCAGGAACCGGAAATGTGAACCCTGCACGAAAATCAGGTTTCTTGACGGAGATTGACGGCAATGCAGGCTTCATCACATTATCCTTAGGCAAGTGGTCCGAGGTAGTTGGAGCAGTTGCGGCAGTCACATGAGGTTGCAGACGAGAGAAAAGGAAGTTTTTTTGAGCCTGTCCTTGATTAGTAGTCGCAACAAAAGCATTCTGCATTAAGTACGACATTGATCAGATCAGAATATGTATGCCACCATTAAGGGGAAAATTGCAAAAACTATCCCTCATGTATACCACATTATCACTTTTGTCCTGCTGACAAAATATATTTCACATGTTTGCAAAAGTCGCTATTTATATCATTTGGCTGCGCGTGATCGCACGTGGTGTGAACGTCGCGCAGTTAAAGGACATAAATGGCGACTTTTGCAAACATGCAAGATATATTTTGCCAACAAAATAAATACAGGACAAAGTGATAATATGGTATACATGAGGAATATATTTTTGCAATTCTCTCCACCATTAAGGGTGTGTTTGTTTGGGGATTCTCCCCAAACTTTACTATTCATTTAATTTTTTCCCCCAAAAACATCAAATCAAACACCTATTTTTTATTTTTTTAAATTATACTAAATAACAATTTTGCATTCAAAATATCACATCAACACTTATTTATATCACATCATACAACTATTCATATTCAAAATTTTTACTATTTAAATCTTAATCCAAACTCCCAAACAAACACACCCTAAGTGAAACATTTGAGAGTCGGATATCCAGGTAAGTGCTAGGAAATTTGCAGGAATCACAAAAATCATATCCCTGCAATAATTACCAGACCAGACCTTACACATCTTGCTAATCTTTACCTGATTTTCGTCTAATCCCAGTACAGTAATATCACTCATTAGTATTTCGATTATAATGGCAATTTCACAGGCAGTCGACAATTCCTCAATATCATGATGGATGAAAAACCCTAATCTTTACCTGCTTTTTGTCTAATCCCAGTACAGTTATATCACTCATTAGAATTTCGATTATAATGGCAATTTCACAGGCAGTGGACAATTCCTCAATATCATGGATGAAAAACTGAAAAACCACATAGGGAAGGGAAGGCAGCATAATGTGAGAGAAAGCTGCATACCTGATTCGGAATTTTGACAGCAGAACCAGGCAATGAAGTTTCGCCATGAAGGATATTGAAGGCAGTTGAGGCTGAGTTTGAAGCTTTAGTATTTCCATTGATGGCCGCATTCGTAGGCTTGTCATGATAACTGGGTAACAAATTGAATTTTTCGCTTTTCTCAATCCCCTCCACAAGGCTTTGTGATGCAGTGTCGGTATTTTTTTGAGAAGACTGCTCTCCCATATCCACTGAATTGACATTTTCACTATGAACGGCGGCACTGGGTTCAAAAGAAGACCTTCTCCATGAGGTTGCAAGCTTCAATTCGGTTTCTTTCTCTTTAGGAGTTGGCTTGTTTCGGTCGAGGTGCTCTAATATCTTCCTAACTGCCAAACTAGAGGATACATGTGGAGTTGAAATACCTCTCTCAAAGGAACTTGGCGCATTGTCGTCAGACTGTTTTTTTGAAACACCACTTGTTTCGCCTAGCTCCAGATTCTTTTCAGCACTAGGCAAGAAACCACCAAAATCTTTGGGTGTCACATTTTTGGAAGGAGTGTCTATAGATGTGCTAGAGAAAATAGATCCTCTTGGGCGGACTTCTGAAGCAAATTTATTCCTGATACGACGAATAGGACCCACAGATCCATAGCCGTCGATATTGGTACCCCTTGGCTTTGCCTAAATGACATTGTAATGCATTACAGATAGCAAAATGTCAGCCTATCCTTTCTAATCAAGTTATTTTCTAGAACTTTCAAGGTAGTGCTTCTTAATGCAAATGGTTAACCCTTTTCAAGCATATCAAGTATTAAAGTATTAATCATAGATGCTATATAGTCCCGAAGAGATTTTGGTAATTATGACGTAGTAACTTACAAAATGACAACAAAATTTACCTGCTCATAGATGGATGTCCGGGAGGGTTGGAAGGGAGTCGATGTGTATGGGTACCTGTCCTCAGTTTGCAACTGAACCAGACCAAAAGCCCAGAAAGGGAAATAAGTAATGCTGTACGGTAGCAATCACAATGCAAGTAACAAAGAAATGTACCTTGGTGTTGGATTTCCGCAACGTGGTTCTGGAATAGGGGGTTCTTGGAAAATCAAGAAGACTATGCCTCCCTCTCTGACTCTGTGGTGTAGCATTAGCATAACCATGAGAATCGTGCAACATGGCACCAGGCCAGCATATGGATGGCTTAGAATAAGCTGATGGCAGAAACTGCTTTTGCATAAATTCAGTGCTTGGTTCTGCTTTTTCACATTTTGAAATCAGGTTATCATGATCAAGGCCGCCTTCAAAGGTACGACTAGCCATATATGCACGAGCAATATCAATTGGGGAGGCACCGACCCCTAGTGAAACCTGCATAATTTTCCGAAACCAATCACACTCACGCATATATCAATCACTTAATCAATATAAATTAAGAACGGAAAAATGCATGCAGACTCAGCATCTGCAGCACTCAGAACCATTCATCCTAAGAGTCCCACAACCAGAAAAACAATTCACCACTAGACAACTTCTGTGCGAGGGAGAATGGATTGAAAAGAATGAACTTAAATAACATAAACTTGCAGAAGCCAACACTCACATCTGAGTTGCGACGTACAGTACCAATCATATTCCTGTCAGCATCTAGCTGTTTTTCTTGAGGTGGAGTTCTCTGGATTTCACGGCTCCACGAAACCAGTGGAGCATCTCCTTCAGCATTAATGCTTGATTTCAGTTTCTCCCTCTCATGGTCTACTTTTGAATTCAATACCGCCAGAAAATGGTTAATTTCCTCCCTACAAAAGATTCATCAAATTATATGTAGATATCTTCAGAAACCTACATTATCATATTTTCCTAATCAAACCCAGCACATTGGATAAATTCTAAGAGGGAAAATGATGGCAAAAAGGCAGTCAATGAGCACATATTTCTTAGGTTTCTTAACCTGGAATCTATCAAGAAAATCCTACTGTGTGCTTTCAATGCTACTAATCCTACAGCAACACATAGTCCAAGGAAATTTTTTCTTTCAAGCAGCTCAGAGAACGCTTAAAAAGATATTTTAATGTGCAAATACATAGAAGAAATCCGTTGTGATCACATAATATCCAAATTCATTATCTTAATGCAAAAGATGATACAACACTCAATTCTACCGCCTCACCAGTACTAATAAATGCATTACATGCTTATTCTACTTAACGATTTAAAAATATTGAATGCACAATTAGAAAAATTCATTAATAATTCCATAGCTAAACTAAAAGAGAGCTTGTGCAGAAAGGAGTTTGAAAATGCTGCAGTTTAAAGTCGATTGAAGTTGACAAAAAGCTGCAAACTGAGAGCAGGAATAGAATATGGGTATGGATACCCGTCTCAGTTACACCTCCACTCAGTTGTTTGCATATGCATACAAATAAACCTAGATAGTGAACATGACAAAGAAAAGACAATTAACCACATGAAAAGTGAGTAAGCTTTGAATCTCAAAAGCAGAGAACAACAGGCAACAGGCAACACTACAAAAACACACTCGGTGATTACATATGCACAATGTCACTGTGCAAGTAGAGCATGTTTGGAATTCTTTGTTTCAAGCTTCAATTGATAACAACATTGCAGAATTAGCAACAACACATATTTTTTGCAGACACCAAACCATAGGTAGAGGCAATGAAGACACTAGTTTTGCGATTATCTCCCATTACTTATACACAGAGAATGCAAATACTAGAAGTAAGTTCTATTTCTATGAAAACCTTCCGATTCCCTAGAAAAATACACACTGTCCTCTCGCTACAAATGACAACCAACTCACTATTTAAGCCAAAACCCAAAACTAAAAACCACAATATCTACAATATTTTATCTGCATATTGGGTAGATTCCCTGGTTAGCCTAAGAATTTTATGAAATTTCCCCACCTTGGATTCAATTTTTTCTTCACAAAAGACCAGAAATAGGGGTAAACAAAAATTCTTCTTCAGTATTACACAAAACGTTTTCATTGTAGAGACAAACAATTAAAATCTGGTTATGAATTAATCGAAATTCTTCTAATTTATCCAAGCTTGATCTAGAGTGAGTGCATTATTATAAAATATAAAAAAAAAAAAAAGACACAAAAACATCCCTTCAAGCACCAAACCCTAGACCCAGCCACAATATCAAAGCCCCAGGATGAAAAATAAATAAATTCCATCAAAGAAGAAGCAATCGTTCTTAAGTTAACCAGTGTCTACTCAAGCATATTCCAACTTCAGTGCACTAACCAAAGTAGGTTCTCAGGAAATTCAACCAAAAAAGGAAAAAAGAAAAAAGAAATAAAAAATCAACAACCCAATGATCGAATTCATCTCATCGACCAAATTCCATTAGCAAAAACACGCACGCTAATCATTAATCTTTCAGAAACAAAACTCGAGATACACGGACCTAGAAAAGATGTTGCGTTCAATCAATTCCACGATTCTGGAGAAATCGGGGTCGTAGCGATTCTCCTCCGTAGATCTGGACATGAAGAACGGCTCGCGCTCGAGAAGTGATAACTGGGAAAGGGATGGTTGAATCCCGACCAGGCGAACGTTTACCTACTAAAAAAGTAACAGTAACAGCTCCGCCGCCGCCGCCGCCTCCGCCGCCGCCAACAGGGTGGAGTCGCGATTGCCTTTAAAATTCGAATTTCTGTATGTATTAGTAATTAGGTTGAACCCGCACAAATACAATACATATATATTAGCTAATTAAAAATTTATGAAAATCATTAAACACAGGACCGGCACGCGCTGGCCAATGGCCATGCCTGGCCCCTTCCTTCTCATTGTTTAGGGTTTCAATTTAGGGTGTGTTTGTTTGGGGTTTGGATTTTGAATTTGAGATTTGAATAGTAAAAATTTTGAATTTGAATAGTTGTATGATAGTGATAAAAATAGGTGTTGATGTGATGTTTTGAATATAAAATTAATTTTTAGTATAATATAAAAAATAAAAAATAGATGTTTGATTTGATGTTTTTGGGAAAAAAAAATTGGATGAATAATGAGATTAAGATTTAATCCCAAACAAACACAGTATCCTCCTGTAAAGTGTTTGGAATGAAAGTACACCAACTTCTCTCGCTTCTCTCTCTCATTAATATATGTAAATCATATCATTTATATCACATATCTTTACTTACATATATTACATATATTATTACTACATATATTATTACTAATATATGCCGATGGTAGCGTTTTGACACCTGAATTACCTATTTTGCCCTTTGTCCAAATTTTCTTTCAACCGTCCACTAATTCCTTTTTCATCGACACGTGTTTGAATTACCTATTTTGCCTTTGTCCAAATTTCATTTCAACCGCCCACTAATTTCTCCTCCATTGACACGTGTTTTAACTGTTTTACCAACCGCCCCCACCAGTTACAGAACCCAACTTGCTCGACCGACCGCCTCTGGGCACCTAACCTCCTTAAATGGACTTACCGAATAACCCAATGATTGACCAACCGAGCAATCCAAATACTAACTGGTCGCTAGACTAAACGACTAATCAGTCGCCCACTCGAGCGACCACCATTCAGTCCCTTCAAACGGCTGAACAATCATTCGTCCAGACGATTTATCGATCGCCCAATCAAGCGACCACCATCCAATCCCTTATTTCCGCTGAACAATCATCCGTCCAGACAATTCATTGGTCGCCCAATCAAGCAACCACCATCCAGTCCCTTTAATCGGCTGAACAACCATTTGTCCAGACGATTCATTGGTCGCCCAACCGAGCGACCACCATCCGGTCCCTTCAAACGGCCGAACAACCATTCGTCCAGACGATTCATTGGTCACCCAATCAAGCGACCACTATGCGGTCCCTTTAAGCGACTGAACTACTGTTTGACCAAGTGACCGGCCAATCGATCAGGCGATTGACAGGTCGCTTAATTAAGCGACCAATTAACAGACCTTTCTTTCAAATAGGCCCCTAGAAGCCCACTTTCCTCTTGCCCAACCTCCGTATCGGTTCTCTCATCTTCCTTCATCCGACCTCATTTTGACCGACCTCCGTATCGGCCGTCTTATCTCTCTTCCCCCGACTTCCTTTTGTCCGACCTCCGTGTCTGTCATCTTATCTTTCTTCGTCCGACCTCCGTGTCTACCCTCTCATCTTTCTCTTCCCCCGACTTTCTTTTATCCAACCTCCGTGTCTGCTATCTTATCTTTCTTCGTCCGACCTTATCTTGTCCGACCTCCGTGTCTGCCCTCTCATCTTTCTTCACCCGACCTTCTTTTGTCCGACCTCCGTGTCTGCCATCTCATCTTTCTTCGCCCGACCTTATCTTGTCAAGCGACCAACTGACCGCCCTTTCGAGCGACTGACCTACCGTTTGACCAAATGTAATTAATTACATTTGTTATACCTTACATTATTTAACATTATTAATTACATGACTGAAATTACTTTAGATTGATTTAATGTATCAATTATTAATCCTTTTTTTTATAGACACACAGACTTCTTCGGATTAACTTTTATCATTCCAACGTAATTATTTTTATTTTCTCATCGTATATAATTGGCTCACCTTAATGATGCACATATTTAAATTGATCGAGAATTTTCATTACTCCGTCTTTTTTTTCTATCACGTATATTCACATCGAATATACAATTACACTATCTTTTCTTCCATACCGACACTTCGATTTTGCATATACAACCTCATTATATTATATCGCACCCGCGCGGCGTAGCGCGCTGCGGATACTAGTATATATATATAATAACACCCACATACTAGCATTTAAAAAATATATTCCACCTTATACATATATATATTTTACTTACCAAATATATATTATTAGTTCTTATCTATTTTATTTTTGGTAAATTTTATTTTTATATTATCTATATTATCTATTTTTTATATTATGAAAAATCTTGTAAAATTTTCTTTTAAACATTTGTTTTTTCACCGGCAATAATTTTCTGAGTTGGTCCATAGATGTAGAAATGTATCTGGTTTCTGTGGGTCTTGTTGATACAATTGTCAGTGAAAATGCGACTACAAACAAAGATCAGACTAAGACTATTATTTTTATTCATCACAATTTGAACATTCATTTACCGTCTGAATATTTGACGGTGAAAGATCAACTTGATTTGTGGAATGAATTGATGGAGAGATTCAGGCATTTAAAATATATTACTCTCCCCAAAGCCCGACATGGTTAGCTTAACCTGCGGTTGCAGGATTTTAAAACTGTTACATATTACAACTTTGCTATCCATCAAATTACATCTCAGTTGAAACTCTGTGTATAAAATATTACTGAGAATAATAAATTGGAAAAGACTATTTCTATCTTTCATACTTCTAATATTGTGTTGCAACAACAATATTGTGAGAAAAAAATTCAAAAGTACTCACAGCTCATTGCATGTCTTTCATTAGTTGAGTAAAATAATAAGTTACTAATGAAAAATCATCAGTCCCGGCCCACTGGTTCCAGTCTGTTCCCTAAAGTGAACGTGATATTTTCTTAACGAGGTCGAGGACGTGGTAGATGCCGTAGACGTGGTCGCAGTTGTAAGAGTCAACGAGGTCGATATACCCCTTACAATCACTACGGTTTCAACATTAACAAGAAGCAAAGTAAACCCCAATTTGGGAATATAGCTGAAAAAAGGCTAAATAGGGAAAGAGACAAATTGACATTTGTAATCGGTGTGGCATTGAAGGCTATTTGACCAATACCTGCAGAACAGTCAAACACCTAACTGATCTTTATCAAGCCTCACTGCATAAAAGGGAGAAAGAGGTCGAAATTAATCACATTGATAATGATGACAATTCCGATGATGATCTTCTGGATTACGACACAACGCATCTTGATATAGCGAATTTTGTCGAAGATCCAGCAAACCCCCAGTGGCAGACATACTATGTCATTTTACATTATGTTATTTTATATTCTGCAATATTTAATTATCGCTATTTATTTACTTGTGGTTGAACCGCAATCTCTTGAAGATCTGCTAAACAGATAATAATAACAACTTCTTTAAACCATGCTGAAGTTTTAGCAATTCACGAAATCAGTTGTGAATGCGTTTGGTTGAGATTTATGACTCACCATATTCAAGAAAATTGTGTCTTAATTTCTGATGATATATTACCTCCCACAATATTATTTGAAGATAATGCAGCTTGTATAACTCAATTAAAAGGAGAATATATTAAAGGCGATAGGACAAAACACATATCTCCGAAGTTTTTTTTCACTCACAATCTTCAGAAAAAGTGGTGAAATTAATGTGCAATAAATTCGATAGTCTAAAAATTTTGCAGATTTATTTATGAAGGCGCTACCGACTACAACATTCAACAAATTGGTGCAATGAATTAGAATGCGTCGGATGAAAGATATCAAATTAAGTCCAAAACAGGGGTAGCGTATTAATACGAGGATGATGTACTCTTTTTCTTTCACTATGATTTTTTTTCCACAAAGTTTTTTCATAGTAAGATTTTAACTTAACACATTCTTTGCTTAAAACATCAAATGGGGAATATTGTACACAAATGCAATACGTAGCATTTTGTTGGCAGACAATTAAACTAGGTGTGGATATTTGTGATTGGTCGGAGAAACCTATATATATATATACCACGATGTACTTGGATGATATCAATTTTCCACGTTTACATATCTCTATGTACATATCATATCTAATTTATATGTATATATAGTGCCTTATATGTACAAATATATATAATAGTATATACTTACAGCATACATACATATATATATATATATTATAGAGTGTGTTTGTTTGGGGATTCGGATTTGAGTTGAGATTTGAATAGTAAAAAATTTGAATTTGAATAGTTGTATGATGTGATATAAATAGGTGTTGATGTGATGTTTTGAATATTAAATTAATTTTTAGTATAATATAAAAAATAAAAAAAGATATGTTTGATTTAATATTTTTAGGAAAAAAAAAAGATAAATAGTATATTTAAAATCCAATCCCCAAACAAACACACTATATATACTTACCAATATTATATTATATTATTATTATTACTCCCTCTGTCCCATGTAATATGAGTGTATGACTGTAGACACGGGAATTTAGGTAAAGTATAATTAGTAAGTAATTAAGAAGTGTATTAATAAAAATAATTATTATTTAGTAAAAATAATTTTAAATTAAGATTAAGATAAGTAAATAGTTTAATTAAAATTAAAAAAATTATAAAATTTAAAATTTAAAATGCGATTAAAGTGCATAATTATATTTTCAAAAATAGAAAGGTCAAGTTACGTGGGATGGACGAAAATAGAAAATAGAGACAAATGGGACTGAGGGAGTACATAACATAAATTATAATAAAAAAAAAAAAAAAAAAAAAAGAGAGGTGGGATTGGGTGCCATGTAGACACGCCACTGCGACCAGGTAAATACATGGTTTTTTTTTTTTTCCTTAAGAAACGGCAAACCGCCGGTTCGAACCGAAACGAACTAACCAGTTTCGGTTCGATGGCGGTTCCGGATTGAACCGGAACCGCCGGTTTGGAGCTAAGTCTACAGCAGACTTGTGGATTATATAAATAGCATCAGTTCCAGAAGCGCAACCCTAATTCAGAGGGCTTGAGCGTTCGGGGCATCGTTGGTGTTGCTGCTGCTTCTCTTGCTCTGCGAATCATCAAAGATGAAGGTCTCTTCCTCTTTCCTCTATGTCTCTTTGAAGTATATATTATTGATTATTATTGTCAGCGATCAAATTTTACTGAGATAATTTGCCTGTATTGAATGCAGTTCAACATAGCGAATCCGACTACTGGTTGTCAGAAGAAGCTTGAAATCGATGATGACCAGAAACTGTATGTTTCTAGATGAATTTAATGCGTCTGATGTTAGAATTAGTATTAATTTGTTGTTGGTGTCGTTTGATTTATTGATCTTTTGCTGCTGAATGAAATCTGTGCTCTCAGGCCTTTGCAGTGTATTGCTTAGCGGAAACATTTTATTTTTGTTGTATAAAGATTGCCTCTTGTGGCGTAGATCAATCCTTTGTGGGGTTTGCTTGTGTTTTCAAAATCTTTTTCACGTAATTTCTATTATTTTTCCGCCATGTCATTTTTTATGTTTCTTTGTTTTATATGTACATATTTTAAGTTTAGTGTATACAGTGACATCTAGGACCATGCTTTCTATTGATTCTTGTATATGGCTTGACAAAGCTTATGTTTTTCTGTTGTGTGATGAGAAGTGGTGTTGTGGCATGCTATTACAGATTTATAGACTTGATCTAGTATCTATTTCCCATGGAGTTCGAGTTTCGTACAACTTTTAATTTGCTTTAAGTGGTGTGATGTGAAGATTCAGCATAATATTTGAAGGACTTCAATTTTACTTAATTTGTATTAAGAAAAGTGAATGTAATTTTAGTCAATTTTAAGAGTTAAATGTATGTTAATGTTGGCCATTCTAACCTTATCAGCAGGCACACGTTTATATCTATAATGTCTTTCCACAAGAGTTTGTGAATATAATCTTGAATGTGCTTTATATAAATTCTTAGGTTTGCTACCTTGTTTATGTATATACGGCTTCTATGTTAATTGTGTTGCAATATCTCATTTGAGTATTTGATTACAAGAGATATACAATACAGCCTTCCTAATAAAATTTTGTTGGTGATTTACTTGATCTTGAATCTTTATGGGCCTGAACATATGGACCTTGTTACTAATATGAAATGCCTTAGTTTGCTGCACACTGAGCCTATGTGAGCAGTTCATGCTTATTTGAAATGTTGGGTTAGTAATTCCAATAGGCCCTTATAAATACTCTTGCAGTCATCTCTTCATTCAGTCATCTCTTTCATTCAGTCATAGACCTTCTTAAGACATGGAATAGTAGGTTAGTTTGTGCACTTTAAAATTGCGACTCAGGTTTTTGTAACACATAGGCCTGTGGGGTGCTAATTGGTACATCCTTGTACCTAGAGTTGGTATTTCCTTGTATCCTTTATTATTGATTGTGTTTGTACAACTGAAGAAATTATCTTGGTGCCAGTGTCAGGATTTGTGAAGTTTCACTGGTTTAGTTTAGCAATGGTTTTACTTTTGTTTATGCTATATTAAGAGTGTGTATATGTTCTAATCCAATCAAGGCTTGTGCCTTTAGTCTCCTTAGTCATCTGCACGCCACTCATTTATACTTGAATCTTGCTTGGCGCATTTACGAGCTATGATTTCCTAGGATCTTGTTATTGTCTTGTCTTGTCATGTCTGTTGCAACTGATTGGTAATGAATTCTTCTGATGTGTTTTCTCCTTTCTGTGTAATTGCAGTCGGGCCTTTTTTGACAAAAGAATTTCCCAGGAAGTTAATGGAGACGCACTGGGTGAGGTATGCATTTTTCTTCCGTAAGAGTATGATTCCACCATTTGTTTAAATAATAGCATGCAATGTCCTCTAACATACTGGAAATTGAACTCCAGGAGTTCAAGGGATATGTGTTCAAGATTATGGGAGGGTGCGATAAACAAGGTTTCCCCATGAAGCAGGGTGTTCTGACCCCAGGTCGTGTTAGGCTCCTGCTGCACAGAGGTATGTGAACTTGTCTTTGCAAACTGTCATAGATGACCGCCTAATTAGTTCCATTTGTAACACAACACGACTGCCTGTTTAAACAGGTACCCCGTGCTTCCGTGGATACGGAAGGAGAAATGGGGAACGCAGAAGAAAGTCAGTTCGTGGATGCATTGTGAGCCAGGACCTCTCTGTACTAAACTTGGTAATAGTGAAGAAGGGGGAAAATGATCTTCCTGGACTAACTGACACCGAGAAGCCAAGAATGAGAGGCCCAAAAAGGGCTTCCAAAATTCGGAAGCTTTTCAACCTTTCCAAGGAAGATGATGTGAGGAAGTATGTCAACACATACCGCCGAACATTCACCACAAAATCTGGTATGTTATGCTACAAGCTCTATCCATTATTGCCACACGTATGTCTCATTTTTTGCTGACATGCCGTTCATTGTGATGTAAAACCATAGTTGTCAATAGCGCGCTATAGCGTCGCAATAGCGGTGTAGCGTAGCAGGACACTCTGCCGCTACGGCCGCCCCGCAATTCCGCATTTACGCAATAGTGGCATAGCGGCCTGTAGCGACACTCCGCTACGCTATGCTACACCGCTATTGTAGCTCATTGGGTTATTTTTTAACACATAAATAATTGAAATCTAACTTTACCTTATAAAATGTACATTTTTTTATTATAATATAGATGAAAAAGAAAGTAATATTTATCTTAAATTTTAGATTCATTCTAAGAAAAGAAACAAATTAAAAAGCTAAAAGTTCCAAGACTTGGTTTATATCAAGTATAACTTAAATTTGTTAGATCATTACGGTAGCAATGATGTGCAATCCTATTGTTTTGATCGATATTATGACTCTAATGAGTTGTTAATTAGAGAAGTTGATAATTGCCGATAAAAATTTGTCTAGGAGAGTTGTTGTTGATGCTTTCTATAGTACTATGATGCAAACATCAATACATCAATGAAAAAGAAAGTTATAAGTACTTCTAGCTCTAAAAAGAAAAATGATATTATGTAAGGTGACGAACATACGATCGAATAAACAGATGAGAATATATTATGTATTTTTGTTGTAATGTTGTATATATAATAATTTATATATTTTCTTAAATATTTAAATAGCGGCTATCCCGCTATCCGTGATTGACGACTATGAGTAAAACAGGCAAGAAAGTGAGCAAAGCTCCCAAGATTCAGAGGCTGGTGACTCCGTTGACACTGCAGAGGAAGAGAGCCAGAATTGCCGAGAAAAAGAAGAGGGTTGCCAAGTCCAAGGCTGACGCTGCCGAGTACCAGAAGCTTCTTGCTATGCGATTGAAAGAGCAGCGTGAGAAGCGCAGCGAGAGCTTGGCGAAGAAGAGGTCCAGGCTCTCCCAAGCCTCGAAACCGTCTGTTGCTGCATAAAGCAATTGAGAGGTATGTTGTTCGTTTTTTGACAATGATTTTTGCATGACTGTTGTTCTCTTTATCCTGTTATATTTAGTTAATTGATGAGCTTAACAAACATGCATACTTAGCCGCACCAAATCCATGTTTTGTGTTTTGTTTGTTTTCTTGCTGTGAGGAGACATTGTTTGTTATGTTACCCATTAATATGGTACTCCTTCCTTTTCTCCTACATAAATTGCAATATTTTTTATTTTGGTTTGTTTTCTCACTTCTAATAAAAAAATAAATATAAATGATTTTTTCATTACATCACTTAATTTTTTATTTATTTTATTAATATTATTAACCACCTAAATTTCTGTGTTGGATACCAAGAATGTGTTTCTTTTGATCTGGTTTGAGAAATTTTTTATTTGAGTTTGGTAAATAAAATAATATTTGATGCAAATTTTTTTATACGAGGAAAAAATATATATTTTTTTTAAGAAATGTAGAGTTCAAATAATAAAATATGAAGCACACTTTTGATTGTTTTATGTTTTGATTGTGAGTAGGCCTGTCAATTGGACCTGTTTCTGACTGGATTCGATCTAGAATCGGTATTTTTTTTTTTCGGATTCGGAACCTTATATGGATACTGAGTGCATATCCAGATTTGGATCCGTTTTATATGGTTCCGGATATGGTATTTCTAGTTTCGATCCAGAACCGATTTGGATCCGATTGTTTATGTATATACTATTATTTATTAATCTACTTATATAATTAAATGTTCCATATAAAATGTTAGATGATTTAAATTATTTATTTGGTAGTATAATGACATTGTTAATTAGATAATTTTTTATATTAAATTTATAATATATGTTTATTAAATTTAAATGTTAAATGTTGATTTATTTTTGTAAATATTGATAGATTTTATACATGATCCGAACTTGAATTCAAACATAATTTATTGAATACTAGACCCGAATCCGAACCGGATTGGAACCTGCGGGACCAGATCCGGTCACTATTTTTTAAGTTTCGACGGATCCGAATCCGGAGACACTAATGAGTGGTCGGATCCAGATTTGGAATTTCAAGATCTGGACCGGATCTGTCCCATTGACAGGCTTAATTGTGAGGTATAAAAATTATATAGGCAATATAAAATAATGAATATGTAATATATTAATTTAAAAAAAAAAAACAGTGTTGATATTTTCGACAAAAAGATAACACTAATGTTCGAACAGACGTGGATAGAAAATAACTTGTTTTCTTGCGATAACTTCCCGTGTTCCCTAGCATCAGTAAGCAACCCACAATGGGGTTCTTAGACCATCAGCATTGGGGACTTCTCTAAACCCCCGGGTCAACATTTAAGTAAAAGATAAGAGAAAATAAAATTTGTGTAAATAAATTTATTTGATGCGGGTATAAAATAGAATAAAATTTTCCAGATAACATGATAGAAAGAAAATATAACGTAGAAGAAAAAAGAGGGAAAAAAAAAATGCCCATACTGAGTTTAATTGATGTGAATGTTCTTAGACCATCAGCAACGGGAGGCTCTTCCAACCTAGCACCCCATCACCATTTAGTAAAAAAAAATAAAAAAAAATCCTCTAACACTAACACCAAGAACCGCACTATTTAATAAATAGTACTCCCTTCATCTTATAATTATAGTTTTAATTGGGTTGGACACGAGATTTAAAGAATATTGATATTATATTGGTAGTCAGTAAAAATGATAGATAAAAGACTTTTTTGCCATTGTGAGTGTATTAGTGTAAAAAGTAGTGGCAATTGTGTAATAAAAATAAAAAAGTAGGGGTAGTTTTATGGTGATATGGTTATTTATAGAAATAAGACTATTGTTTTGGGACAGACAAAAATGATAAACAAGACTATTGTATCGGGACGGAGGTAGTATTAAAATTATATATATATAAGTTTGTTTGATTTAAAGATTATATTTAAATTTATTATATAAAATTTTATTTATTATTTTTAATAATAGAAATTTTAAATATATTCTTATTTTTATTTTAAATAGTTTTTAATGAATATTTTATAAAACATTTAATTTGATATCTACTATTAATTTAATTATAATTATTTCTTAAAAGAAATATAATTTTATTAACCTATCGTATAACTTAATTAAAATTACACACAATACAAATAAAAATAAAAATACATAAAAATGTTTATAAATTTAAAAATAAACTTACATGACTTAATTAAAATTATACACAATAAAAATATTAATTGAAAATGCATAAAACTATTCATAAATTTAAATGCAAACTTACGCGACCTAATTAAAATTGCAGACAATACATATCATAATAAAAAATACATGAAAAAATACTAATAAATTTGAATGCAAACTTACAGAAAGCATTCACGTGCCAATCTTTCTTTCACTCATTTTTCAAAATCAATCAGATTATCATCACCTTTGGTCGTTAACATTATGAGCATCTTCATCTTATTTAAAGTAAGTTGTAGTTGTTTAGCATCCCGATCAATCTTCCTCGTTGTTTTGTCCAATCTTTTAGCTTTCAGAAGTGCTTCTATTTTCTGGGGTTGTTGCTTCAAACTTTGCTCATTGACTGTTGCCATATATTTCATACTTGAGCTAAATTTGCTGCTTTCTTCGTAAAATTTTTCAAATTTTTCATATTTTTCAGTAGGATTTGAATTGAATTCCTCGTTTTGCACCTGTTTCCCCCTCTTCTTACTTGCTTTAATACCAGGGGGACGAGTATGAGGAGTTGGTCATCCACATCAAAGTATGGTGTCGCCGGACATAAACTTGAGTAACTACCATCTTCACTTGTTTTTGTTCGCTTTGAACTTTCACCATTGTTATGAGATGATTCGCAGTAACTGGCCTTCCATTTGGGCTCATTTATGAGTATACGCCAAGCATCTTCATGGACGAAGCCTTTCTTCTCAGAGTCATTTCAATATATCTTATTTGCTACATTGAGGACATAATTTCTTGCTTGTCCACTGCATATGTTTCGATTAGCCTCTTCATAACACCCAACAGACTTTTGCACAACCTTACATATTTTACTCCAACGATTATTACATTGAGTAATACCTCTGTTCGTTGCACTTTCGAGTTTGTTCTCCATGTAATACGATGCTATTCTTTTCCAGAAAGCACTACTTGGTTGGTCAGTATTGGTTACGGCATCCTTACTTGTGTTTAGTCATGCACTGATTAGAAGTTTGTCTTCGGTCCAGCTCCACACCTTCCTCGTATCTTTATCTTTTGTATTATTAGAAACATCATCATCTGCTAAATTGATAGGTGTGCAGTATTGTGGGGTGTCCATTGCTTCAGTGGCTTGCATCATGAATTGAGGAGATGATGAACTTTCGAATGCTTGAAAATTTGGAGGATAGAAGTTTGGAGGAATTTGATAATATGGTGGAGGATTGAATGGTTGAAATGAGAGATTAGATGTAGGGAACATTGGTTGATTTCCTAACATATTCATAAAACTTGGAAATCGAAAAGAATTTTGGGGGATCTTGAGAGCTGTATGAATTTGAGAGTTGGGATCCATTCGTGGGAAATTCAGGAGAAATATAGAAAGAAGATTATAAGGAGATGGTGTAGATGATATGAAGTGAGTATGTAGTGTATTTATAGTAAACATTGCAACGACTATATTTCTCAACGACTATATTCCCAACGACTATATTCCCAACAACTAGTTTTTTTTTTTTTTATTTATATAGATGTTACCAATTTATTTACACAATAGTTCAACCTTTCATATTTTAAAACACTTTTATTTTTCTCCCAAAATAATGTCAACTCCATCATTATCATCCGACGAAGACTTGGAAAATATGTGTCAATTGGCAAAAACATATGCTCAATAGTATCAAGAGATTGAGCACATCAATAATGAAGATGAGGGAAGCTCGCGGCAACGTCGACGGAGAACATACATAGAGAGGAATCATGAAGATGGCCATACTCGATTATTCAATGATTATTTTTCTGATAACCCAGTGTATCCAAGTTCTTATTTTTGTTGTAGGTTCCGAATGAGAAAACATGTCTTTCTTAGCATTGTAGATTGCCTTTCCAACAAAATGGAGTTCTTTCAGCAACGGCGTGATGCTACAAGAAGAGATGGATTGTCAGCATTACAAAAATGCACAGCAGCTATTGATACTTTTGATGAATATCTTCGTCTTGAGAGAGCACCGCAATGGCATGTTTAAAGCAATTTTTTGAAGGGATATGTTCCCTATTTGGTGAGAAATACCTACGACGACCAAATTCTGCTGATATACAATAATTATTATTTATTGCAGAGACACGTGGTTTTCCAGGCATGCTAGGAAGTATTGATTGTATGTGCCGGGAATGAAAAAATTGTCCGGCTGCTTGGAAATGGCAATTTGAATGTAGAGATCATGACAAACCTACATTTATATTGGAAGTTGTAGCATCATACGATCTATGGATTTGGTATGCATTTTCTGGCACATCAGGTTCATGCAATGATATTGATGTACTTGATCGATCTCCGGTATTTGATGACGTTTTGAATGGGAGAGGTCCATAGGTTTTTTGTTATCAACGGTCATCAATATAATATGAGATATTATCTTACTGATGGAATTTACCCTCCACGGGCAACATTTGTTCAATCAATTCGTCTGCCTCAAGGTTATAAAGCACAATTATTTGTGCAACATCAAGAAGCGGTTAAAAAAGATGTGGAGCGTGCCCTTGGCGTATTACAAGCTCGGTTTGCCTTCATTAAAACTCCATCACTTATTTGGGATATTATTTTACTAGGTAAAATAATAAAAGCATGCATCATATTGCATAATATGATTATAGAAGATGAAAGAGACACTTACATGCATTATTATGATACATCTCAATATGATCAAGTGGAGACAAGTGCTAACTCGAATTAGTCATACAACAATACGAAACATACAACTATGGAGCAATACCTACGGAATAGAATGCGACTCCGAGCTAGGGAAACACACCATCAACTCAAAGCGAATTTAGTTGAACACATTTGGGATAAGCTTGGTCAATCGGCTAATTAATTTATTTCAAAAAATATATTGTAATATTATGTATTTTTTATTTATTAAATTTGAGTTTGAACTTTAATTATTATGCAAGTATGAAATTATTACTTTTATTTATTTTATTTATTTATGCTAAATAATTGTTTTATTTTTATTAAATATTATAAG